AAAAGAAAATGTTTATGAATTTGGAAAGCATATTCAATATTGTTATTCAAAGCATATTCAGTATTATTATTCAGCATTGACGGTGAAATTCAACTATGATCTTTCTGTCAAGGGCAGTGGACTAAAATGAAACCAAACACCAAAAAGCCAGAGAGAACAAAGGAGCAGCATATATAATTAACCTCAGGCAATATCAACACAAATGATACATCAATTTCAATTAGGCACCTCGATACAAATGATGTAATCTTGTATACGTGTTTTCAACTCTTGAGCCAAAGCTCCTCTGAAGGCTCCTATCGAGAAAAGAAATGCAACAGCAACACCTTGCCACCACGTCAAAAATACAATTGACTTGAATGTCAAAAACTTGGCCAATGGTCTGATTGGTGCCAACTTATCTTTGATGACAGAATAAAACTGTACAAGGCAATACAGGGCCCAAGTCTGGCTGAAATTAAGAACAACTGCCAAATATGGATAGCTGCAAGCACATAAAAAAAGTAGGTTGTAACTACATGATAACTGTGTCATCGGAAAAGTACATTGATGAAAACTGATATAGTTGTTTGATGTTATGAGAATTAGTAAAGATAATTAGTTTGTCTTACCCATATCTCCACTCAAACTTTCCTTCTCCATAGACCCCAAAAGCTTCGAGGATCATGGCTAACAATGCACATATCAACTTTAATATCATCTGGGAAACAGGCATCTAGTAAGTAACTAGAGGCTAAGAAAGTGATGAAAAACTGCAATCCAAGGAAAACTCCATAAAATATAAGTACTGAGGCTAAGAAAGTGATGAAAAACTGCAATCCAAGGAAAACTCCATAAAATATAAGTACTTACATACTGAACAATGCCAATTTTTACAGCATTATAGAAGTCAGGACCGAGATTCCAATCATTTAGACACCAATTTATGGGAAAAGGATGTTCCACAACTCCATAAGAAGATGCTTCTTCCAGAAGAGGAGTGCTGGAACTAATTACTGCCTGGTTTTCCATGAATTCAATTGTATGTGCCTCTCCACCTATAGACAGAACCACATTCCTTAAATCAAAACTGACAAAAAAAATATATTGGCAAAAAAAAAATGATAAACACTCTCAAATAAAAGTCTTTTAGTAGCACCAGAAGAAATTATTGTTCAGATGTTTGTACAAGCTATAGTATCCTAGAAAAGGACTAGATAGCACTATAAAATCCAGTTCCGTGTAGCTGACTCAACATGAGATTGGAATTATGTCTGTCCTATGCTTTAGAACAAATTTTTATCCCATGTAAAACCTAGGACATGAGACTGGATAGCATTTTTTAAAAATAAAAATAATATAGTATGATTTATTCACAAGCAATAAGTGAGTGCAAACCCGTATACAAAATATTTACATATCAATCACATTATCAACAGAGTCTCCAAGATCCTCAAAGGAGTAAAGATGACATGAGACTGGATAGCATCTTAATCCTATACCTTAGGAAAAACTTTATCCCAAGTATGGACAACATTGCCCCTCAGTAAAGTACAAAGGCAGAAACTAATTTTCCCAAACATACCCTCTAATTTTTTCTTTCCCTCCATTGATTTTACTTGTATTTTAAACATGCACATAATTTAATTATTAAAAATATCAGAAATAATGTTGTTAGTAACTAAAAGAATTAAAACAATAATATTTAGATAAGTAAAACATATGGTTTAGTAGCATGAAAAAATATCAAAATAAACAAGGAATAATTGCTATTTGGGACAATTCTATAATTTATCTTCCTGTCCATTAATTTACCAAATGCCTGACAGTACTCATTATCTTGTATGGCCCAGTACAGTATGGAATTTGTCTTGTCTCATCATATCCTAAAGTTGTCCTATTTCACTAGTCCAGCTCAGTTCTCACAATTACCAGACACTACCACACGTCACATAAACTTACTATGTCTTGACAATTGATAGAGCAATTTGAACAGACAATAACTAGGCACCAGGAATGACCTCTATATATTTCCGGTCAGCAATTTGTAGTTACCAGAAGTCCCCAAGCATCTTTTTCTTTTACAATAAGAAGCCCCCAACAATGTTCATGAGACATAATACATCTAGAACGGTCCGTTAATCTATAAGCATGCCTCTTAGAAATAATTACTGGTCAGCAATTCAAACAAATGTTCATATCATGCCATCTTCAACAAGCAATGGTCTCGGGAGTTCCTTTACATTCAACTAGGTTGCATGTTATGAACTGCCCATTTTTGCAGTAAATGTGTTTTCCTCAAAATTGAAAAATGTTCAAATCATGGATACCCTGGTCACATTACAAATAAAACTCAACAGTCTTGTCTTGTACCCTTCTAGTCAAGTGTGAGCGTAAAGGGGCATGCTGAAGTATATAAATATGTTGGTTAGACTATTTCCTATCAACTTAAAATTTCTAGAATAATTGGTTACAATCTTCTTTTCTTTTCCTCTTTCAATCCTAGAACAAAAACAACCACCAAACATTAGTAAACACTCTCTACCCCATCATGAAAATAAAGTAGTCTGAATTTATCTCCATGTGAAGAGGCAGATGATATTAGATAAACCAGAAGAAATTATCCAAATCTAACAGAACCAATGTGGCATTGCGGAATCACTCTAACCATATGACTTTGGGACCCAGTAAGTACACATAAGAGAAATTTTTCTAATTAACATGTAAAAGAAATGCCAATCCTTGAACTAAACAGCCAAGGTATCCCCCCATGCATAATAAGGTGAGTTCCCTCAATCAGTTTCAACCAATTTCCCTCATAATTTCAAGGGAACTGCACAGACCATCTGAAATAAAATAAATAAAGATGGCAATGATACTCTGTTTTTCACTTATGGCATGCTCTGAAAAAATTTGTATCCTGACATAACTTGGAGACATTCTACTAAAGAAGCTTATTCACTTAAGAAGCTCTCAAAATCCTACAGATCAACAGCTTACTTCCAGATCTCCAAATCTGTGTTCCTTTCAGATATTTTTACATTTTAATAGAGTTTACTGAATTTTGTTTTTTTTTTTTAACAGATGATTACCTACAGCCTTGACAATTATAGAAATGACATAAACAAGCCGAGTAAAAGTGTAAGTAAAGTACTTCATTGTCTTTTACATCCAAAGAAAAAATTCAAAGCAAATGGCAATCAACCAGATAAGGCAACTTTTCAACCTTCCCAGCATACCTAGGCACGCTATCAAGTATCTCTCAAAGCAGTACAGTGCAAAAGCCTCATAACAGTCCCGAATTACTTCGCAGTTGAATGCAGCATCTGAATTTAACAGTGACAAAAACTGCCCCAGAAAATATTAAAAATTTAACATTAACAACTAATCTACAATAAATACGCAACAATCAGCAAACGGCTACTAAGTGTAATGCTAAACTTGCGG